TCGGCCACTTAGGTGGCTCAGCCACCGAGCCACCCAGAGGTGGCTCGGTCAAGGCTGAACCCTCCTGGTGTTTTATTTTGTGCCATTTTCCGGTTTCGCGGTTTATCCGAACTTCATTGTTGATCTGGACTCTGATTTGGCAATATGGATCCTGATTTGGCAGTAAATCTGCTTTGGTGTTGTGGTCTAACGATCCTGCTTGGATATATCGTCTGATGGTTCGTTGGTTTGTCGAATCACCGTGTCGAGCTGTGTTAAGGGACCTATAAGCAGTTTTATACGCCTACAACTCATAAAGTTTATTATAAGCATGCTAATGTGTTTAAATGTGATTATTGTGGTAGATTTGACCATTTGGCGAAGTTTTGCTTTGATTTGAGAAAATATTCAAACTTGTCAAAATTTTCAAATAAACCATGTTTGTTTAACAATGTTTCTCATTTGCAAAATAATTTTGAAAGACCATCTATGTTTGCAAATGATTCTCATGCACAGCCACTAAGTCAACAAAATTAAATGGGCCTCTTTCATTGCACTTATTGCAATCAGAAAGGTCATTTATAAATTTTTTTTTGACCGTGTTCGTGCACTAAATACGCCTAAATGGGTTCATAACCCAAGAGCTTTGAACTTAAATGATAGGGGTCATGTCCCTAGACTCTTAGGTACCAAGAGTAAATTGGTACCAAAATTTGTTTGATCTTTAAGAACAAATTTTTCTATTTTTTTGTTTTCATGTTCTTAAAGATGATTTTTTAGTTTTTTTTAAATCCATAGTTCATGATTCTTGTATGTTTTGAAATCTTAATTTAAACTATGAAGAGTTTGTTTTGATATGCACTTTTGGATTCATTGTAAATCACTTATATGATGATATTTATGTGTTTGTGCTTATGGATCATCTATTTGTGCTTTATAATGTATTCTTTATATGGTTTGATCAAAATTTTTAAAGAAAATTTTCTTTCGTGATCAAACATCTTTTTATATATATATACTTTGTTTTGATGAGAGGTTTATATTTATGTAACCCCCTGGATTTATTGGGTGTTTATTCCCAAATCTTGTTTACCAGGTGCTAAAAATCTTTATATGGGTTGGAATAAGCTCAAGAGCTTGTTGTTGTCGCCTCTCTTGCTTTATATGGTTTGCTTTTATGGATTTCATTTGATTTATGATTTCATTGGCTTGAATTGTTTTCATTTGAAAACTTTTTTGCATGATTCTCATGTTCTTCTTCTTTTGATTTCATAAATCTATTTTATACATGATTTTTTTTATTTATGTTTTGAGACACGCTATTTCAATGGTATATTAATATGTGTCCTCATTGTATTTTTGTATATGAGTTTTGTTTAGCATGTTTATGCTTGCTCACATGTTTGCCTTGTACTTTATTTCATATATTCTGTAAGGCATTTTGATAGGGGGTTTTCCTTATATTTGTTTTTATACTCACCGTGCTTGTAGGTAGGGGGAGCCTTCACTATCTTATCATTTTCCCCTTTTTGATGTTGTCAAAGGGGCAGAAATATTGTGAGTATATAATTCCTTGTTTTTATACATGATAGTTATAATTTATATAATCATTGTATATCATGTATATCTCTTTATGTAAATTGTTTGTCATTATACAAAAAGGGGGGAGATTGTTGGTCTTTTTGTTTTGATGATGTTTTAACAAACAATTTATAACTAATGTTGTTTGTCTAGTGTTTGTGTTTTTATATTTATTGTAGACAAACAACATATTGGAGGATGGATGGAATCGAGCATTCACGATCATATCCAATGAAGGTTGGCAGAATATCGGTGAACCCATGCAATTTAAGTTGAAGATCCAAGTTCAAGCTTCATCTGCAAGTTTACCAAGAAGAGCTTATTGAAGATCAAGATCAATGCTTGGGTAAATAGTTTAGGTTTATATTTGTGTGTAGATACTTTAAGCTCACACACACATACACACACGTATTTGGTTTATATATATATATATATATATATATATATACACACACACACACACACACACACACACACACACAAGTTTTGGTTTTTGATTTTCAAGTTTAAATATGAAACATATACATATTTATATATATATACATGTTTGTTTTCATATGATTAAGATGTTTTGGTTTAGTTTTGTAGATATGAAACAAAAATATATTCATACACGCATTCATATGTTTTATATTCTATTATATTTGGAAATATATTATGTTTTTGAGTTATAGACTTTAAAACAATAGTTCATACCTTTTATCTAGTCTATAAAGCCATACAAGAGTTTTCAAAACATGGTTTAGTCAAAACATTAAATTTCAAGTATGTTCATTTTCATGTTTTGGACTATTTTGAAAAATAATGAGTTTTCACAAATATGAAGCGCAATTCCAAAAAATTCTTTTTGTAACATGTTCATTAACATGTTTATAAACATTTCCTAAAGTTTTATATTTTTTGGAATTTATTTATTATTTTTAAAGGTACTTTAAAAATTATTTTTTCTATTCATATCAGGCTGATAAAGTATTATCAGTCGACTAATACATGTGTTCAGTCGACTGAAGAAAACGTCTGGAATAAAAAAAAGTTTATGTTTTGTTTTGGTCGACTGACCAGTAGACTGATGAGGTCATCAGTCGACTGATAAGATCGTCAGTCGACTGATAAGGTCGTCAGTCGACTGATGAGCTGAAAAATACCTACAACGGTCAGCTCATCAGTCCACTGATGAAACCCGTTAGTCGACTGATGATGTAACAGCTAGTTTTTTCTAGCATGTTCTAGTTTTGGGTTTTTGGTCTTTTTGTCTTGTTTTCTCTTATCTTGGGGTCTCTATAAACATCCCTCATTCCTCAGAACAAAAATGCATCCAAGAAAGTTTTTAAACAAGTTTTAAAAGGGTATTTAAGTTTTGTTTAAGTTTGTTTATGAAGAAACTTTCACAAGAGCTTGGGGAGATCATCTATTGGTGTTTGAGCATTCAACTCTTCTCCTTCTCTTTCTTATTATCAATAGAGAAGTTTTTCTAAACTCTTATCTAGCTATTTATTTGTTTGTTTTTCATTTCCTTAAAGCTAGATTTATTTGAGTTTAGTATTAATTTAATCTCATTATTACACACACTCACTTGAGCTTTTAGTATTTACATACATAGTATAATTTGGGTTGTGAGAGATTGTAACCTTGAGTTGTGCTTAATTGAGTTCTCGCATTGTTTAGAGAACAATCATTTGTTGTGAGCTATTATTGTGAGTTACACTTTGTAATATATTTGTACACCGAGAGGGGTGTGTGGTGAGAGACAGAGTCGTCCCAAGAGGAGATGGGGTAGGTGGTAATGCCTAGAGAGAGGTTGTAATTCCTAACACTTGAGGGAGATATGGGCTAGAGACCAACACTTGAGGTGATAGTTAGTGTGTTTACATTGTGAGTGATTGTAAAGTTTTCGTTGAGCTAGAAAACCGAGTGCGAGGTGTAAACGTTATTCGGGTGAGCGTAGAACACCCGGTTGTGATAGTGGAGAACTCCTCAAGGTGAGGAGCGGAGACGTAGGTCGTGGGGACCGAGCTCCATGATCATATCGTTTGTTTGCGTTTGTCATTGGCGTTCCTTTATATTCGTGCTTATCATTTATATCGCCTTTTTCAATTACTTGTTGTTTATATTGTCCTATCACTTTAGTAGTTTGTTTACCCTTGTGTTACTTGTATATCCTTGCACATTTATTTGTAATATATCATTCTTGCTAGGATATATTTGTTAATAAGTTTTTAATTGATATAAATCCGATTAGATTAGCATAAACCATATTCACCCCACTCTAGGGTTTTTTCCTAGTGGCATTAGAGTGTTTTCACACATTTCTTCAAGTAATCAACTTGTTGAATTGCATGCTTCAATTCTCTTCGCAAATGTTTTGTTTCCAGCTCTTTTAATTCTGAAACTGATTGAAGAGAAGCTTCATCTTTTTTGGCTTCACCCTTTTTGATTTCATGCTCATCTTCGGCCCACCTAAAGAATTTGCATGATCTCTTTGGGTATTTGGCACATCCCCAAAAGTATTTTCCCTTGTTTGAACCAATTTTGCACAGCTTCAATGGTGTTGATATATTACAAAAGCAAGTTACCTCAGGAGATTTGTTATGAGATCTTTGGGATGCAGCCATGGCTCAGCTCAGCAAGTGAAGGAGGCCCTTTGGGAATTTATTTGTAAAGGATACAGCAATTTGAGGAGGCTCAGGTTGGAGTAGCAAATGGCTTTGTTGCAAAGGAGCATTCATCAGGCATCAGTACTATATAGGAGCACCCATGGTTACTGTGACTGATTAATAACTATTTTTCACTGTGCCGTTCTTTGAATTTCTACCCGTTGGTAATATATTACCATTGGGAGATTGGTGGTTCTTTGGGAGAGGTAAGCTCACCACGGTGTTGTTATACAAGGTTTCTCAGTCTCTCTCTTGTACATACCAAATATTGGAAGTTGAAGAAATGTAAAAAGTGAAGATGATTTCTTGATTTCATAGTGTTGAAACAAACATGTGGAAAAAGAAACTTTATTTTCAATCCATTGATTTCACTGTGAAACAAACAAAAAAAAACTAGGAAACCCAAATGAAATGTCAAGAAATGGTTTCCTTTCTATATTTCTGTTTTCTTTTTTTTCAGAAATGTACCAAACAGACCCTTAGGAGATGATATTAGATGAGTTGTGCGATAAAAATAATATTTTATTGAATGTTATGGTAAGTTTTAGAAATAAAAATAGATAAAAATAATATATTATTGATTTCCCTGTACTATTTTCCTTTTCTTGATTTTTAGGGACCAACCAAACAGCCTCTAATAATAATATGCAACTCTTTGAACTTTCATACTTCAGACTTTGCAGTTACCCAAAATTCCAATTCGAGCGATACAAAGGCCATCGGATCGGAGTAATGATGAGTTCCACATATGATAAATATGTAATTAATACCTAAAATTGTTAGAATTTTTTTTCCTCTCCCAACCATCTACTCTCCGCTCTAAACCCTAAAGTTTTAACCCAACAAAACCCTTTTGCTTAATTCTACAAGATTTTTAGAGATTGGTTTTCTGGTGCGAAATCTCTTTCCTCTCTGTTTTCTTACTGTCGATTTTACTGCTTTTTGTGTCAAATTTCAACAGTAATTTTAGTGTGGTCCATAGTGCGTTTCCCCCCTTTTTCTCTTGATTCAATAATCCTCCTTGTTTATTTTGTGAAAAAATAAGGGGAAAAAAGATTGTTGCTGTTTATTATTCATATCAATTTGGGTCCTGGGCATTCTTCTTCTAGATGTTAAAAAAAAAGTAAACATCTTTAAAAAAAAAGTAAAACCTATTTCAATGCTTGTTTTAGGTTTAACTACTCGAGGAGCAGGATCGCAAGTTGGAGAATCCAATCTGACATTTTGTAAGGGAACATTAGGGTTGGTGTTCCCGGTGCAGCCTGAGTTGGTGTCATGTAGCTAAAGTATAGAATAAAAAAGAACAGGTCTCTGGCAAATGTCATGTAGCTTTTTTTTTAGTCCCCTTGGGAAAATATGGGGCATACCCCAACTTATTGATTAAGAGGATTAGTACAGAGACGTGGATACAATGGTTGAACCGTGTGAGAAAGGTTTCTCATGTCCGAATAGAGGTTACTACACATTTTTGTAACTTTGTAACAAGAGACCCAAAAGTCAATAAGCTATACCATGTTGTAAATTGTATCCACCATTGAAGCATGCAGCGTAGCTTGATAGCACGTTAAGTCGTGGGATACCTCTTTTTTAGATTGTGTATTCTTAGGAGTTTAAATTTAGGGTTATGCTTTTTGTTTAACTAGACAACACAATTATCTTATTATGAAAGTACTTTTCTAGTTCCCAATTCTAGATTTGGTTTGCCGAAAACTACTTAAACATGCATATCTCAATGACATAGTAGTAATATCGGTATGTTCTCAACTAGTCCGCTCCTTTGATGGATTTTATATTGGCAAATAAATATGTGGCATGTAAGGTTCCACTCTCAACCTTAGCCATTTCAATTTGTTTTTTGCACCTCCCTTGATAAATATCAAGCCCGTTCTTCGCTTTCTTCTTGTTTCTGTAGGGTATTTCACATATGCCAACGTACATGATAAGCGCAAGTCATCGAGTGAACATATGACAATCTATCTAGGGGCACATTTATTTCGTAAACAGATAAAATAACACTTGTAGATAGTCCAGCCATTTTTATGTTCAACCTATCAAAGGCAACTTCAAAGATACAATTTCTTTTTTTGAGGAGTTCAACAACATTTAACATGTTTCTTTTTTCGGGCTGAAAAAGGAAAAGAATTGAATTTTTATTTTTAACAAACTTCTCGAACTTCTTGAGGGGCTGTATCATTGTTATATTCTTCATCATTTGTCCTCGCTATGATGTTAGGTATATCATGGTACCTTTGTATGATGAGACCGACACACGATTGGTTGAAAACTATTACTTTATTGACGAAAGGGATTCACTGATCTCATTTGCTGTACTACCTGTTTTCCGGCATGAGGCCAAGAGATCAGATAATGAAAACTTGAAGGTCTTCTTATGTGGAACTGCTGATGGTGGCTCTCAAGAAGTATACAAGCAGGTTACTTCTTGGAGGTTGAGGCTTCAAAATGAGGAGCCCCAAATTTGGGTGCTCTCAATGGAAGGGAGATGGATAAAGCTTTCAAAACCGAGGAATAGCTATAGGAGCAGATTCAGGACTTTAATGATCACTCTGCAATGTCTACATGTTTTGAAAAGAAGACCTGAAGTCTCAGAAAAGACTATCTGGCGTCATGAAGTTTTCAGGTTGGTCATAACTCTATTGCCCCTCTTGGGTTGAAATTATCCACTTTAAGCTTTGTGTTGCTTTTGTTTTTACAGCTCGTATGACGTGAGACCCTCTAAGGATGATCTCAGGGATCATGTTTCTTTAATTAAGCTCTTCGCTGATAGAGACCAGACGTTAGCCAATTCTAAGGTATGGGTATCATCTAAATCAGTTCCAGCATATGTTCTTTTTTTTTCTTTGTTTTTAGACGAAGCAGTAATAATAATTCTGAATTATAAAATTATGTACCATGGTGGAATTGGTCAGTAGATGAGTCTTAAATTACCCCTATTTGCAATCTTATTAATGAATACTCATTAAAGACAAGTACACGGTCCACAGCCTTCAAAATCATAGGAAGATAGACAATGAATGATAAGATGAACCTGAGCGCCAAAGTATCTGCACTTATCCTATAGTTTCCATAGTTAGACTTCACTAGATTTTTTTGAATCATTTGAAACGAATAAGTTAAGGAGTTCATTCGCTGAGGACTCCTCAACTAAATTAACATTGATCTTATGCTTATGTACAAAATAGATATAAATAATCATCTGAATGAAACAGGCCTGAATGATCTTTCTTGGTGACCTTAATGCTAATACTCTGAAATAGAATTGCTCTAATCATCATACATAATGGATAATTTAACATAGTGGCGTAAGGGAGCTGCATTGCAGGAAGATATGAGATAATATGATGTTGTATATAAACCTTTCTAACCATATCGAGTTTTACTGGGACAATTTTCTTTGCTCAATGAAGGGTTTTATATGAACGAAAGCAATATGAACAAAAGCAATACTGAAAATGACAACTCTATACTTTTCCGAAATTTGAGGTCTCAATTGCATGAATGTGTTTTCTTCATCCGCATTTTTGACGTGTTACCTCTCTTCTATAAGGTAGTTGCTGCCTCAATGCCTTCCCATTTGGACATTTGTAAAACTTTTGCTAAAATAACTGTTGCAAGTTAATTTATATTTCTGCATTCTGGTATATTGGATTCATATGGTGGTCAATTTTCGTATTATCTTCTATTCTTATAATAAAAATACATCCTTATTTATCTTGCTACTCTGCTTTCTACCAGTTGCTATCTATGCTTCTAAAAGAAAAGCATGAAAAGGAACCAACTTCCTGTGTGGTAAGTGAATTTTATTGTTCTTCCTCGATTGTCTAAAGTGAATGGCCATAGGCCCATATCTTTTGCACGAACAAATTCACTTTTATATTAGGTTTCTGAAACTGAGGCAGGTGAAACAAACCCTTCAATTGGTTGTGCTAACAATGTTGAAGAGGAGATGAAAGGTATTGAAGATGATAAATTTGAAGAAAAGCCCGGAACTTTTGATCCAGTTTGTGCTATTTGCGATGATGGTGGTGACATATTATGGTAATTTTTTTTTGTTTGTGCCGTTGTCCTGTTAGTATATGGTAGCTCCGTCATATGGTAATGTACGCTATTACTTGCACTCCAAGCGAATTATTTATCTTCATATGGGATGAACTTTTTGTTTTTATATGAAATAGTTATAAATAAGTTGATTAAAGTTAGACATCAGAGGAAACATTGGGAAGCTACTAATTAAATCTAATTTCCTTTGAGCGTGGCCCTCACTGTCGTCTATCACAAGAGTAAAAAATTTCCTTCTTTATAATGTGCATGCATGAATTTTTTCCATGATTATTCTCTGTACAAGTTCTTGTTTCAAGTTGCTAAAATAGCATGCCCCTGCAAATTCTTAATATATTTACGAATTTATGTAGGGGTTTGATGGATTATATAATAACAATGAATTAGTACTACATTTTTCTGTATACTTTAATATTCCTTATTCTTTTTTTATTTTCTGTTGTATTAATAATAAGCTTGTCTTTGGAGGGATCACACTCTATTTAAGATTTATTATCATATTCTTACACGTCTATCTGTACCATGTGACTGCAGTTTGGTATAATACATAGCGATACCATGCAGTTGATGTTAGTAACTGGAACCCGCTCTGAACCATGCTGACAACCTTGTAATATTGCTGCATGCAAAGTAGAAAGTTCTTCTTAAGATTTATACTTGGTCCTGATTCTGAGTCGTTAATGGATGTTTGCTATATGATATTAAGCGATTGTTACAAACTTGAGGTGATTTAACTGTACATCTTGAGATGAGCAGAACATGTAACGGGATGCAAAGAAGGCATATTGAGGAAACCAAAAATGTGATATATTTTATTCATAGTGAGAGTCCAGAGAGGTAGTGGGAGTACTTATTCTTCCCCATTTCACTATTATATTAAAAAGCCCAAACATGTGAATTTTGTTTCGATAAAAGCTACGGTTTCGCATAACAAACTCCTCTCAGTTTTGCATAACACCCGGTACTGTCTAGGAAGACATGTGGCTATCAGTATAGTGGCGAAAAGACTGTGCTCACCAGCAACTGCGTGCTTTTCTCACTAGAGTTGGGATGTATGAGGTAGGCCTACTATTATGATATTAACCCATGCTCTTTTGTATGCATGGCCCATCAACTTCAGTTCAAGGAACAAATAAAACCAGTTATCAGATGGGAATAGCTCAAGTTACAACGAGGCCTCTTCTATTTTTCATCCATCACCTCTTCAGGCCACCTAAGTGATCAATGGGCTCAAGAGGAAAGAGGCCAACTAAGTGATCCTTGTTAATGCTAATTATGATCCATAGATTTTCTTTTTGACCCTTCCCTTGCTTTATTCCTTATATACATGTGACTGTGTTTGGTAATTTAAACCACAACCTCACACCTCATGACTTTGTATTGCGGTTGATTTGTATATGCATGTTTTTAAAAGTCATCAGAATAAATCTTTTCATTTATAACCACAAAAATCATTCTTTTTCATCAAAGTTTTAAGAGGGACAAATAAATTAGGAAGAAGATTAAAAACAAAATTTCAAGATCGTTTCTTGAGCGATCTCAATGGATTAGGAGCAAAAGTTGACACATTTGTGTTTTAGCATCAGTTCTAAAGTTGGGGATTATATTGATTTTTTATTATTTGCGCTAATTCAGCATTGCCATTTTCAATTATTTTTCCTGTTGATATTGGTTTTTTTATAGTGTTTATATTGAATTAAAATTGATAGCAGGACACAATTGTATTATTCTTCCTCTTTATATGATTTTTTTTATAGAAGACCTTTTGTAGGATTTGCATTTTTTTCAAAATGGATACCTTTAGTAGAACAAAAATAGAAGACCAACAAGGTAAAAGATGGAGGAAAATGCTTTTCTCTTTGGTAATATTTGTTGATAATTTTCTTAATGGTAAAATGTAAGAGTAAGATATAGTTTTCTTCCCTTCAAGTGTAGTTTAAAATTAAAGTCTCAATTTTGTATGTAATGCAAGTTCCACATATAAGTAGTAAATAAAATATATCTTTCTGTTTCCGCATCTGAGTAGGTAAAATATGACTTCTATCTTTCACTTTGCACCTTCTCTATATATAATTCTTCAATTTTATGCAACAACTACACATAATAAGCACGTGTAATGCACATGCCCTACTCAGTAGTTATTAGAAATTAAGAATAAACTTGTCTTCTTGGCTTCGTTTAAATTGACATCATGGAAAAATAAATTTGTTGAAATCTTTGGGTAAAATATTCACTAGTTCTAGTTATGTTCTATCTGTGAATGCCTACTTATTAGAGTTTTCAAATTGCTATCTTTCTCCTAATATTTTTCTCTTTTTCTAGCATGTAAATTGTTGTATGTTATCAAATGCAGTTGTAATGGGAGTTGCTCAAGGTCCTTCCATGCAACCAAACCTGCTGGTAGGAAAGTAGGTTGTGAATCCCTGGGCTACTCTAAAACTGAAGTCAAGGTATTGATAAGATTAACTTTTATCACAGTTCTGATATTTATTTTGATTCCCTGGTTTGTTTAAAAGTCATTATCTGCTCTTAATATTTCTTTTTATTTCTATTTGGGCACGTGCAGGCAATGCAGAAATTCTTTTGTAAGAATTGCGAATATAAACAGCACCAGTGTTTTGCTTGTGGAAAGTTGGGCTCTTCTGATGAAACTGCTGAAGCTGAGGTCATTGTTTTTATCCTCGACAAGCAATTCTAGTTTACTGCCTCTTTTAATTTGAATTCTATTTACTTTAGGAAATATTCAGAAACTGCTATTGGAGTTTCCCATTTTGGGTCTCAACATGTCTATTTGCTCCCTAAACTTTTTTTGCCCTTTTTGAAATTTAACTTAACTCCCTTATGTTTAGCTCCAAAGTCATGATAGCTCCAGGGAGTTGGATATATCAAGGATTCGAGTCATGTCAGACATTGATAAGCACATCTTAAGGTTAAGGAAACAAATACTAAATTCTCTTGCAGTATGTTGACCATTCATCAGAGATATCCAATTAGCCGTTAAGCTGGTTTAAACATTCTGGATTAAAAAAAATTGGTTTTTCTGTGTCTACAATTTTCAGATTTGGATTTTCAGGGGTTTGCATTCACTTGGATGTTTCTTTCCTCTACTGTCTTAAGAACCTGATGATATTTCTCTTTTGGTTTATTTTGTTTCCTTAATTTAACTCATTTTCTTATTCTTCTGCTGGGATAGTGACTTTATCCAGAGACAGGTTTTATTTATAAAGAGGAAAATATACTTTAATTACAGAATCTTCCAATATTTGACAAGATAATCTTCTCAAACTTTCCTAAGATTCTAGCTTCTCTAATACTGCCCCTCAAATTGGAGCATGTTCACCAATTGTGCCTGACTTATATAGAAGTGAAAAACTTGTCTAGATAATTTTTAGTGAAAATATCACTGTTTGGGTCGAAAGTTTGTTTATTTATCGAATCTATTACACGTTTATCGATTACAATGAATTCAAAAGAGTTTATCCTTTTATAAGACTACTCGTTTACACAAATAAAACAAGAATTACAACTCTCTAGAAACACACAGAGGACGTTTATCACTTGCTGCTTGCGTGAGATTTTTGCCTGTGCCGGGGACATGGACGGGGACACGTTAGTCCGTGGACCGCCGCGGATCATATCCGGTTGACAGAACAAAATTTCAATGCTCTTGCTTTACAAAGGAAACAATCGCAGAAGTGATAATCTCAACCAAGTGAGATTACGACTCTTCTCGAGATCAAAACAAAGTCTGATCTCAAGGAATAGTGGAACGAGCCTCAGATCTCTCGAATAGCTCCCTCTTTATGCTGGAGTTCGCCAATGTCTGCTAGCCCTCCGCTGAAATTCATGGTTCACTCTCCAATTTGACAGCGCCTTGCCTCTTGATTTCAGATTCCCTATGTGTTGGGGTCCTAAGCTTGTATTTATTAGCTCCGGATGCAGCGTTTTTAGGATAGGAATTGATGATTTGACCTTATCCTCAGTTAATAACCGCTTAACCATATTTGGGGAGGCTCTAGAACGAAAGAATCCTGAGAAAACTATCTAAAAACGCGTTTCGAGCAATTCTGGGCACGAGCCACCCTATGGTGGCTCGGCCTTAGCCGAGCCACCTGGCTTGGCCTTCTCCTTTCTTTCCGGTTTGGTCTTGTTCCGCCGTTTTGCGCATTTCATCGCTTCGTTGACTCATATGCTTCGCCAACTCGTTTCGTATGCTCGTTAGCTCTTTTTTTGGCACGGATGATCTCTTTTGACTCAGATGATGACGTTCATCGCCTTCGTTTCGTCTCGAGATGCGTACGGGAACCTATAGGTAATTTTTGACGCCAACAATCACTAACCTGATTATATCAATTAACTGAAGAAGTGCTATTTTTTCTGTCATGAATAACACAGTTATCTCTTTTTCAATAGTTAAAATTATCTTTAGCAATAATATCAATTAACTTCATGTTAGAAGAAGCGGTTGAAAGGTTGAAAGGAAGTAACTGATAGTAATATGAATGCCTACGGGGTCACAGATATCACTAGTCCAAGGATAGAGATTGGTAAGTCTCAGATTTGGAGATATGTAGTAGGATCTTAAACAGAGACAAATAGTAAGGACACAAACGTGAACACATTTGGTCTCAAACATGGAGACATGTAATAGAAAGAAAGCTGCAATAGAAGTAAATCAACAGTTGTAGATGAGAGATATTAATTGGCAGCAGAAGCCTTTGATGGTTAGACGACAAAGCCACAGAGGAGAAGCATGGAGTTGGTGCATGAGTCGGCAACCCCCTTCCTTGGTGGCTCTGAGGTTTAGGATTCAGAAAGACCATTTTTCTGTTGAAAGGGACGTGTGTTAGGTGTTGAAAGGGACGTGTGTTAGGCACCGATATTTTGGCGGAGTTAGGAAGAGTTTGAAAAAAAGTGGCGGGCCCCACCACAGGAAACACAGGAAAAAAATAATATAAAATTAGTGCATAGTATTTTTCCAGCCACTATAAATAGGCCCAAAACTCTTTAGAAAAAATCATCCCAGAAACAACTCCTCATATAGAAGAGAGAAAACATAGAGAGAGTTTGTGAGAATTATTGGAGAGTATCTTGATCAAGAGAGGGTTTTCTCTTTGATCTTTTCTTTGTAACCTCGAAAAGGAATATAAAGGAATTGGACGTCGTCATTGCACCGTGAAGTAACTCCGTAAGAGTGAACCACGTTATATCTGTGAGTACTGTGATTGAATTTGTGTATGCTGATTTTATTCTGTGATTCCACGTTCGTTTGGGTGTGTATTGCGTCTCTGTTCGAGGCGTTCTTGTTGGCGTGTATCATAACATTTTCAGGGTATGAGTTTTCACCGGTACATTGTTTTGTTGGGAAAGTGACTTTATCCTCTAGAGAGAAAATCATTTTTTTATTTAGGTTAAAGCAAATAGATTACATATTTACATAATTTTGTTTGGGAATGCTTATCTTTAGATGCTTATACGCTAAATTAGCTTTTGCTAGCTTTCGACTTTTATTATAAAGTTTATAAATTGGGGAATCCTATATTTGTTTTTAGATGGACTTATATGCTAGCTTATTTATAGCTTAAAAGCTACTTTGCAAAAAACAAGGCTACCCCAACCTCCACACAACCCGCACCAAGCCCCCCCCTCCCCCCAAAAAAAAAAAAAAAAAAAAAAAAAAAAAACCACCCCCCCCCCCCCCCAAAAAAAAAAAAAAAAAAAAAAACAAACAACCACAAAAAAAAACCTCTAAATAATATTTTTCTTCGCATTTTCTTTTTCTTCCTCAAAGCTTCTCCTTCCTAAAATTCACCTTCAAACAACTATCTTGCATAATAAGTAATATCATTCCTGAACATTGAGCATTTTATCCTTTTTTAGGTATTTCGTTGTGCATTTGTATCTTGTGGCCACTTTTACCACCCAGAGTGCGTTGCAGAATTACTTTCTCAGGGAAATGAAGCAGAAGCAAGAAACTTTCAGAGAAAGGTTGCAGCTGGGGAATCATTTACATGCCCTCACCATTATTGTACTGTTTGTGGGCAAGGAGAAACCAAAAATATCTATGAGCTGCAATTTGCAATTTGTAGACGCTGCCCAATGTCATATCATAGGAAATGCTTGCCTAGGTGCCTACTCTCTACCCATGTTCTGAATCTTCTTGGGTTAAGTTAGTTCCTTTTCTCATCGCCGGTCAAATGTATTGCATTGCTTAGGACAATTTCCTTTGAGGCTCACGGACAAGGCAGCTTGCAGAGGGCTTGGAGTGAACTTCTTCATAAGCGCATTATGATATATTGCTTGTATGTTCTCATTAATTGGTTTTCCTGTTAGTTAACGTCTCATTTTGATTTACTTTTTAATTTTAATTAAAAAAATCTTTTTTATTTACCCAGGAAACATGAGATTGATGAAAAGCTTGGGAAGCCTCTACGAAATCATATCATATTTCCGGAAATGTCTGATGAGAGCAAGAAGTGGGTTCACCCTGAAACATCTGAAACGAACAAAACCAAGATTTTCCATTTACCCAGGAAACATGAGAGCGATGAAAACCTTGGGGAACCTTCACGAAATCATACCATATTTACTGAAACACCTAAAAAGAGCAAGACTTCGATTTGCCAGAAAGTATCCGTAAAGAACAAAGGGAAGCTTCCTGTGAGGAAAAGAAACCTTTCTGAGGATTTGCCTAAAGAGCCAAGTTCTGTCGAACCATATAAATTGATTGAAAAGCTTTCACATGCAGTGGATAACCACTGCAGTGGAAAATCTGAATGCACCAAAGAACCACATCATATTAGTGGAAAATCTGAATGCACCAGGGAACCACATCATATTGCCAAGGAAGTGAACGTTTCAAAAAAAAGAAAAGCTTCTGACCATCATCGATCACAGATAAAAGTTTCGAAGAAGAGAAAAGCTTCTGAACATAGTAAATCTTTGATCAATCAGACAGCTGTGCGTGAGGTTTCGGGAACAATTGCTGGGGAGGAAATTAGTGCTTCATTTCCTGAGATAGATAGTGAAAGCACTGACAGGTAGGGTGCCTTTTTCCTGAAATTATCTTATCATAGCTCACTTTAACTTGGGCACTGAGTTATAATTCCTATGCTCAACTTAATATTGATCAAAATCATTTTGGACTATCTGTTTGTTCTATTAGTGACGTTGCATTGAGTAATATGGTCGATTTGGTTTAAACACAGAAAATAACTATCACCTACTTTCACTGGAAGAAACTATTGAGAGTTATGTGTTAATTGTTCTGTATGCTGGAATTAGTTTTAGACATTTGGTTAGGCTAAATGATACTTTCAGCTCTAGGCAATTTTCATCTACAGTGTGGCTCTGTGATGGAAAGCTTTTACTGCTCAATGTGATTACTGCTATATTTGTAAAGCAAATAGACGAGTCATATATTAAATCAGAATTTGTTAAAATGCAGGATTAAATTGTTGATGTATGAGCTATCATCTTTGGTAGAATCTGAAGATGGTTATACTGAGTCCAGCATAGAATCCTCGCATACTTTTTCTGTAAAGCACACTGATGTGAGAATTAAACAAGGAAAAGTGGAGGGCTCTTTTGAGGTATTTCATCCATTAGAAGTGTACCTTGCTGAAAATGCTGACAGTGAACATCTAATTTAGTCCGGTGGCATTATGTGCAGGCTATACTAACAACAGAACACAAGCGGGGAGATGGGGAGCTAACAAAGCAAAAGCTGATAGTGAGCATAAATTACTCAACAGATGAGACAGAGGAGGGTGAGGAGGGTAATATATCCATATCTATATACTGATACATCTGTGTATGCATGCATTCTTTGTACAAACCTCATTCATTTTTTTTAATATGAGGAGGGCGCCTTGCCCTGATTTTTCTCTCCCAAAAAAGCAAGTCCTTTTTTATGTTTATCTTACGTTTCTATGAGATTCAATCATACGGTAGACATTCTTTAAGATTCTTTAACTTTTTTTTGGCAAGGAAGAAAGCGGAGAAGAGTGCCAAACTTTATAAGAGAAAATGGTTGTGGATCAACCAGTTGCAAGGGTTTCAAACTAAGTTTTTTGTTGTTAACCATTTTAATACATTAGAAAGGTCATCTGACTATTATTGTTCTGGCACTTGCAGGAAAACCTGGAGGTTAACTTTCAAATCGGCGTTCTGTCCAGTTTTGACTTTTCAGTGCAGTGGTCAGATAGTAACTTGGATCGACTAATTTTTTGCTGCCTACGGTTCATGTAGATCCAGATGAAATGTATGCTTCTTGTAAAAATCTTAGTATCAAGTGATACTAAGAGTTAAAGTGATACTAAGAGTTTGCAGGAGCAACCGAAGGCTATATGAATGATATAATAAGAACGTCCTCATTCCCTGTGCGGTGAAACATCAAGAATATCTTTGCAACCATGTTAAATAGTCTATTTGGCCTTCTAGAATGCTTTTACATCATCGAGGCGTGCCTCCTCGCTTACCCATTGTGGACAAGCAAGTATTGGTTTCAAGGCGAAGTTCACATTTGGTTTCCTTTTCCTTTGTATTACTATTTACTAGTAGGATCCACCCCTTTTATGATTGATCAAGGAAGGAGAGGAATCAAGAAATTTCATCACTGACCTATTGATTTTTTGGTGGCATCATAACGGGGTATCGATGCCTGCGTTACTCCGGTGAACGTACAAGACCACATTGCATCTACTTACTTTTAGCTCTTTTTCGTGTTTTGCATAAATAATTGGGCTAAGTCCATTTCATCAAAAGAGGGAGAAAAAAGAAAGAAGGAAAAAAAAAAAAACACTTCTCCGTAGGCCAACAACCTTAATAAAGTTGTGGGAAAATAGTACCAGCACAACAGGGGTGATAATTGATAGGAATCGGGTCAGGCCCTACAAGTTTCAGTTTCAGATTGATAATAAATCTTAAGGATTCATTTAGAGATCTAGTACTCTTGATGATTCAGACCAAACAAGTCATTAAATCCCATACGCTTTTAACTAGAGATCAACATGAGGAGGAGCACTTGCTTTTGATCCACAGTTCATGGGACTACAATTGTCACCCACAAAATTGTCATGGGGTAGAGAGATCTGGGGCAGAGTTACTTTTGATTAGCCAAAGTAACATATTTGGTTTCAATGCATGCATGGGCTTGCATGAGCAGTGAGAGTCTTCTAGCAGAAGCATCTCAAAAAAGCAATGACGAAGCGAAACAGATAGTTGTCGTCGTAGTGCAGGAGGCCGTCGCGCACCAGTCTCTGCAGGTTCTCATTGTCCCTCGGCAACACGTCGCTGTAGTACAAGATGGTGCTCACCGACGCAGCAGGCCTTCCTATCAAAGAACTCAACGGCCTCACCAGCCACTTGCCGAACACCGGAGCTAGAGGCTGCATGCACCCCCAAATTATACAAATAAAAGATAGCCGCATGAACTGCTAACGACAAGTTAATTACATGCATGATTAATCCTCTCATCTCCCTCTCGGAATTCGATGATCTTGGTTGTACTCCATTGTCAATCAGAACCAAAATGTGAAGGACGCAATATCCTCCCAGAGTCTATAAATCACTCTTATTTTTCAGTCGTCCGCATTTTAGTCAGATAATTAAGAAGCAAATCAAGATCATTAGTCACGAAAGATACGGTTCGGGTTAATACACAATTCTCGGTCCTCCTCACCGCAACTATAGATCGAGAGGATGCATGCGTGTATATGTCAGTGTCATCACATTAATTGTTGACAATACTTTATGCGGTTAGTTAGTTTCCAAATATAAAAAGAATTAAAGGGGAAAAAAAATTAGTCCGAGCAAATGCGTCAAGAAAAGAGAGAGAAAGAGAGAGAGAGAAATTATTTAATATTGAGCAAATGCGTGAAGAAGAAAAGAGAGAGGTGCCTTGACGTGCCCATACCATTGTTATGAGAGGAAGAGAGATGGCGTGGTCATCGTAAGCAAGAGTAGTTCTGCGAGGGGGAGAGAGAGAGATGAGAGGGGGAGGGAGGGAGGGAGAAACAAGCCACCTGCCCGTCTCCAAAGCTTTTGTAGTCAGGATTACTCGTCAGTTTTTAATTTCTTGGAAGAAAAGACAGGAGTAAATCAATAAAAAGGGGAGGAAAAAATAAAGTAGGATTTTATTTTATTTTATTTTTTCTTGGGGAGAAGGTCAGGACGTAATAAAGTAACAAGGAATTGCTTCGAAAAATAACAAGGAAGTCAGTTAAAGTTATGTGTGGTGCTGTTCATTGGACTGCAGCTAACATCGGACCTAACGTCTCTTGTTTGTTCCCAAACCATTGGCGACACCAACGACGGGCGCCCACTGCTCTCTCCCTCCCTCTCCCTCCCCCTCTGCATTCTTCAGTTAGGACTGAATGGGGTCGGACGCGGCCACGATTTGATCGGATCCCCTCAACGTTCATTTTGCTCCGATACAAAACTCATCGAGAACCAGAACCCGAATCAATATCGAGTGCCACTGAAACCTGCTCCCATTAAGGAAAATGTGGGATTGGATTTGCTGGGAAAGTTAGTAGAAAATTAATGACACGAATTGAACTTCGAAATTTAAACTTTCCTAACTGTAGTTCAGTGGAGCCGTTGTGAACCCCTCCAACGTCCTCCTTAAAGCATTCACGGTGCAAGGACCCTGAGCAGGAACGACTTCTAGGAACACAAAGAAAGAGTATTCTGCTGCGCACCGACCAAATACTCAATATACGGACGGGCTCTGTGACCGGACTAGGTGTAAAACTAAATTCATATCGAACTATGGAGGAATTATGAACTAAAATCAGGGCCGGCCCGAGCTTTGGGTTGCACTAGCCCAATTCAATTTTGGTTGCCCCTTATATTAAAAATTTGGTACGAACAATAATAATAAAAATAAATACATATAATACAATTTAGCGTTCTATATTAGTCTCAAACTGATAATATTCTCATGCAAAATCAATATTCACATAAGAAGAGATTACATTTGTGCTACAATTTGATTCAAAGAAAAATACTTCTCCTTGAATTTTTTGAAGCGAATTCTTCAATTAAGTCATCATACTCAAGTTTATCCAAGTATTCATTTTCAATTGATATTATTGCCAATCCATTCAATCGTTCCTGTGACATGGTAGTGCGAAGATAACTTTTTATCAATTTTAACTTGGAAAACTTTCTCTCCGCCGAGGCAACCGTAACTGGGATAGTTAACAAAATCCGATAAGCAACCCATGCACATTGAAAGCCACCATCATCCCAATAAGATCTTATGAAGTCTATTGATTTAGTCACTTCCTTCGGCAACATTGTTTGCAAAGCTCGTAGGTCATTGAATAAATCTTTCCCATGTATATCACATTGTTGGTTGTGTTCCAAGTATCTTTGTAATTTAGTACAATGTATATCACATTGTCGATTGACTTTATCTAAAATATTATACCAAATACACAAGCTAATCAAGAACTCAAAATCCTTCAAAGCATTTTTACACAAACCTTTAGCTTAAGTCATCACAATGTCCTCTTTAGAACTATTTGCAATTTCATTCAAAGCGTCTCTCAACTCCGGTGCTTGATATCGGATTACTTTAACACTTTCAACATGACTTTCCCAATGAGTAACCAACAATGGCTTTGGTGTCAGACCCTTTATATATGTTTTAAGAACATCACACTGATGTGTTGATCCAACAAACAAAGTGTAAACCTTTTGCACATATGAAATTTTTTTTAGCTTTGACACAAGATTTTGCCATATCGCATAGTGCAAGATTTAAGCTATGGCACCACATGGCGTATAAAAAGCTCGAGGATTTATGTCAAGAAGTATTTTTTGTACACCTTGATGTTTACCTTTCATATTTGACCCATTCTCATAACCTTGACCTCTTATATCATCAATGTTGAGATTAAGTTCATTTAATGTATCTTCAAGTTGATTGAAAAGCCCAAGTCCCAACGTGTCATCATCTTTTATAAATCCAAGAAAAACTCTTCCACCTTGACTTGATTTGTATCTTCAATATCCACACATCTAATGATAATTAATATTTGTTCCTCATGGCTTAAATTCGGCGTACAATCAAGAATAACTGAACAATACTTTGTTTTTGAAATTTTGTCAAGAATTGTTGCTTTGATCTCATTGGCCAACAAAATTATCAATTCATTTTGAATATTATGGCTAAGATAATGCCTTTGAACTTCTTTATCTACCACACGTCAAATATGCTATTGCATAATTGGATCGACTTCTGCAATGAACTCTATAAGTTGACAAAAAAGTCTGTTGTTCTTCTCATAAATCTTCTCATTAGTTCCATGGAATGACAAACCATTTCGAGAAAGAGTCTTCACAACCGCAATGATTCCAACTAGTATCATATTCCAACGTGTTTTCTCTTTGTCAATTTGTGCTTCTATATCTTTATCAATTGTTGCTTTTAGTTTTAGTCCTTTTTTCAAGTCAACCCACTTCACAACATTTGCACAATGCTCCGGATTACTTTCATGCTCTCTAAGCTTTGTAGGAAGGTTATGCCAATCGTCTATTCCATTCTCCACCAAATTGGTTGTTTTTGGTTTATTCTTGAACAACTTGCAACAAAAACAAAATACCCTATTCAGTTCATTTGAATAGACAAGCCATTTCCTTTCATGCTTCTCGCCATTTGGAAATTCACAGATGTAATATTTGGAAGAAAAACTTCTATTTCTCCCACTCTTCTTTTCACTTGGAAACTCATCATTTTTCTTTAAAATCTTGATAGGACCACGTTGAACTATCATCACCCTCTTAGTATCATTTATACTTCCTTACAATCTCGGATCATAATTTACTTCCACATATTTCTCAAGATCAAGTATGCTTTCATGATATTTACTAAAAGCTACTTCATTGTCATTTTCATACACATGAACATTTTCATTCACAGGCTCTTCATGATCTTCATCACTAGCTTCCTCATTACGACTTCCATCCGCATAAGTGACTTCATTCATGGGTTCCTCAATGACCTCATCTATATTTTCACTAATATTGGCAGTGGCACTAGCTTCTTCAACTTGACTCGAAAGAAGAGAATGTTGTGTTTTTTCTTTGAATAGCTTAGAAATTGAGCCATCTAGTGATTTTGCCATTTCATCTTAATGTCGCTTGACTCTTCTATTATGAGCTCCAGAGTTTTATTTTCTAATCCTTACTCGGTTTTCGTCATCTCCCGTCATGGTGTACTGTAGTCTGTAAATATAATTATATAACATATATGAAATCACAATCAACTAAACTTAGGCTACTTATCAATATCATTATTATTAAAACAAACCATAATTTTATTCCAAAACATCATAACCCCTATTAAATTATTCAACAACTAAGATTCAGCCAAGATTCAAAATCAGAAATCTTAATTTTATTGCAAACATCAAAACCCCAAATTTTTGTCCAAAAAAACCCTAAAATTATTTAGTTAAAAAAATTTACCTAATTGGGTTGGAGGAGTTAGCGGGGTGAAGCCTAAAGGACGGGTCTGATGGGAGCAGAGTAAGGTCGGACCGTCGGAGGCTCGGGAAGGCGGAGAGGAGCGGTTTTCTCTCTTTCTTTTTTTCTTTTTTTGTGAGCAGAACATAGACGAGAAGGAGGAGAGGAAATACTGATGGAAATAAAGGAGTTGGGTAGGGTTTTGGGTATTCATTAGAGTATTTTTACAAATAGAACCCCTAACAATTTTTGCATAAAGGTCCTCTTACAAAGTCCACTTTAAAAATCAAAGATAATTACAGTTTGAGGGGTGAAGGAGCGGGAGGGATGGGTTGTCCCCTAGCCCTGGGTTTCCCCAGCCCCCGGGCTTGGTGGCTTATGCCAGGGCCGGCCCTGACTAAAATGGAGTAGAGAGTTTAGAGCTCGGGAAACTTTAAATGATAAACATAGGTCTTTTAATTCTAGTAGGCTTAGATGCTCAAAAAGTAAATATAAATAAGGTATTTTAATTATAATTATAGTAGGAAATAAGAAATAATATACAGTTTCCGGTTCTAAGAGGATAGGAGATAAATAAAGATAGAATCTCTTAAATCCAGTAAGAGATCAATTATGTCATAATCACAATAGCTAAATAATGATACTCTATATCATAAGGAGGTGTTTGGTTCAATTTCTATAAATTATAGGAAATATTTTCCACCCAGAATATGATTTCCTTGTATTTCTTAAAACAAATTATAGGAAAAGTTTTGAGAAATAAAAAAATACCAATTTTCTTGTTTTTTTTACTTTGCCTGTTTGGTTCAAAACAGGAAAATGACCCATAATTTTATAGAAAATAGCAAGATTTCCTATAATTTATAGAAATTGAACCAAACACCCCCTAAATTTATAGAAAAGTATCAACTTTAAAGAAAAGTGTCAATGTGGTGTCAGAGTTCTAGGTGATTTCTGTCCATTTTGAGAGGAAAATGATTTTTGTAAATTTTGGTACTTTTTTATACTTTACAGAAAATATTTCTGTAATTTTTTGAACCAAACACAGTTTACGAAAATCTATAAAAAATTTTAATTACAGAATTACCATTGTTAGACATTTTGAGAAAACGTTTTTATAAAATTGTGCAGTCAAACAATCATTTAGTACCGGCCCACGACCTAATGATCAGAGATTCCTTAGGCTGTTTGAAAATTTCGCCTATAATATGAAATAAACCTACCAGGATTTCGAAGGTCTGATACTCTAGATTTAATTTATGTACTAAACGCAAAAATCGATATCTTTTAGGCCACAAGAGTATCGTATTCAAGACTAAACGACAAGTTAAGGATAAAATGCTGCAACTGGTGCAAGATTAAATGAATAAACATGAGTGGTAACATCTAGACAATCACATAGTACAACATACGCCATGCTGACTATCGTAAAGACTCCCTTGGTAAATAGGTGGAAACAGGAGAAATAAGCACCAATACCACAATATTGGAACCGAACGCATAAGAATTAACGATGATGAAACATATTGTTGGTTATTATTGTGAGATAGACATCGATCGAAATAAGTGCGTGAATAATATATTATCTTAGAGATAATTATTTATAATCCTAATGAGTGTATCTATCTCTATGTCTTTTATATATAAATATAATGCTTTCATGATAAAAGAATGAAAGAAAAGACCATAAATCATCACAAAGTCATCACCTCCTTTTCCGATCAAGTTTGTACTTTATGCAATAGTTGCGGGGTGATATGCAGAGGCTTATCCTCATATCGGTGTGGTCGCTCTTCGGCCATTGTTCGAAAATCAAGAATAGATGTGTGGTGATCCTTCTAAAAGATCCAGGAAAGATAATCCCTAAACAAAAGTTATTTTTTATGCATGGCTCTTATTGGTATCTGAGCGCGAGATCGGGTTGTTCACAATTTTGATGTTCTTTTTTTTGGGTCAATGAAAGAGCTTTATTCACTTACCAAATTTGAAAAATCAGTACATCTATATTCTCAACATAAACTGAGATTACAACAACAATCTATAGTCGACTCACAGGTCTCAAAATACAATCATAGAGAACAAATCCATTCTCTAATCTCGTCCGAAAAAGGATCATTGAGGATAATGGACATGATGTTAATCTTAATATCTCTGAATAGCTGATCAACAGTTCTTCTCTTTTTCTTAAAAAATCCTTGCATTCCTCTCACACCAAATGCTATAAATTATTGAAGTTAGAGCCATCATTTTAATCTTCTGTTTGAATCCATTCCCTCTCAACCTGACACAGTACCAACTCAGGATTTGATCCCAATTGCAAGACTTCCATTTGAATTGTAACCAGTCCATAACCATGGACCACACATCCCTTGAGAAACAACACGCAAAGAAGAGATGGTTCCTGTTTTCAGTATCAGTGCACAGACTGCAATTGTTGCTATTCACAATCCCCCTATTGATCAATTTATCTTGTGTAAGTAATCGATCTTGAACTGCTAACCAACTCACAAAAAAGTGCTTGGGGTAGTTTAGTTTCTCCCATATTGTGTTATGCCATGGCACCAAGTTTGTTGCTGGAGAGAGAATAGAATACAGAGTTGATAATCGAATATTTGAATTTTTTGGACAAGAAAGGATAAGCTGTTTCAGGTTATCAGCACCCCCATATAATCCTTGAGCTTTGTCTCTGACTTTCAGAATTTGTCTCCACATCCATGAATCCACTTTTCTTGCTTGCACTTGCCACACATCATTGTGCTTTAAATATGTGCCATGAATCCACTTAATCCATAAATTTTCCTTATTAATATGGATATTCCAAAGGATTCTCAATGCTGAAGCCATATTCTAGATAGAGGCAAAGTAGATACCTAGACCACCCTGTTTCATACTCAAGCAAGCTTTATCCCATGAAACAAGGGGGATTTTGTGAACCTGATCAGTTTTCCCCCACAAGAAGTTTCTACACAACTCATCTATCTTTTGTAAAACTTTAACTGGCAAGACATAGTTTGACGTCCAAAAAATTTGAATACCAAGGATAACACTTTTGATTATCTGTAATCTGCCTGCATATGACATATTTCTAATCTTTAAACTATCCTGAAGTTGACTTAGGATTTTGGAGAAAAGAGGAGAGCAATCCAAGAATGATAGCCATTTACATCTCAGAGGTGTTAGACCCTAGAGGGAGGGGGGGTGGGGTGGGGTGATTAGGGTCTTATGCTAATCTAATCCGATTTTATGCCAATTAAAACTTATTAACAAGTTATCCTAGCAAGTATGAAATACAATAATATATGTGAGCTAGGATAAGCAATATGAACAAGGGATATATCCTAGTAATAAGATATACTATGAGTTATATACAAGGATATAAAACTAAGGGTGATATAAACATAAACAAGATAAACAAGATAGTGGATAATATGAACTAAGAGCAAATGACAAAGGCGATACAAACAATAAGCATGAATGTAAAAGAACGCTAATGACAAACTCAAACACACGATATGATCACGGAGTTCGGACCTTCCGTCCTACGTCTCCGCTCCCCACTCCCGGGGAGAATTCCACTATCACAACCGGGTTTTCTACGTTCACCCGAATAACGTTTACACCTCACAATTTCTCTCACGGAGTTCAGTCCCCACGACCTACGTCTCCGCTCCTCACCTCGAGGAGATCTCCACACACTCTCTCACAATGTGGCTACACTCCACCCTCACAATACGGTTTTCTAGCTAACCGAAAACTCTACAACACTCACAATGTAACAACAAATGATTTGTTCTCTAATACAGGTGAGAACTCAATTAAGCACAACTCAAAGTTACAATCTCTCACCACCCAACTATACTATGTATGAAAGATACAATAAGCTCAATGTGGGTGTGTGTAACAATGAGATAATATAATCAAATCTAAACTCAATATAAAAACTAGCTTTAAAGAATGATAATCAAAACAAATATGCAAATGTAAAGCTAGATATGAGTTTAGA